TGTAGCAACGAGCTACTAATACTAAGGAGTGACTGTGTTGAAGCTTCAAACGTAGGGCTCGCGACGACTTCGAGCGAACCCAACCCATTTGAGGTGACTGCTGCTGCTTTCGATGCCGAAGACACAACAGTCGGTACTGCTAGGGACTCCTTTTTGGCACCGGGATAGGGTGGCGCAAAGCGAGTTCGATCCCTCCCTATATAATTATTATACGTAATTATAAGAAAGGGGAAACGAATCTCCTCAGATTACACAGAAAACCTGATTCACCTATAAAAATCAAAGATAAATCTTTAGAATTCCTAATTAAGGGGACAGAGTGAGGTTCGACGTAGTTGACTGCACACCAACCGCTGTTTCGCTAGCTTCTCATTTCGACGAGAGACCCGCGGAAAGTCGTCACGGCCTCAGAAGGTTCAGCCGAGGGATTGGAGGGGGGGGCCAGCCAGGTTCAGTGTCAGTAGGACTAGCCTTTCTTTCCTTATTTACAGAGAAATTTCATTTGCTCATTTTCAACTAGATCAACGATTGGAAGATCGGATATGCCCCATCGCCTTAGTCGACTTGTTCCTGAGATGAGAAAGCTTGACTCGCTTATCAGAGCTTGGAAACAGACTACGCACTTAGAAGCCCTACTCCATTGTGGTTGCTTGCCTTCATAACAGTAGGTTCGGTCAGCAGAGGGCTCTCCGGAGAGAGACTGATGTTGCAAATCAAAGATCTCGTACTACTTGATATAGGGATACCTGGAGATTCTTTTTTTCTTTTTTATTTGAATAGAAAAAAGAAGAAAAAGGGAGAGGAAAAGGAATGAAAGAACAATCCTTTCCTTTTTTAGATTATAGTTAAAGAAATCCGAGGCCGATTCGGTTCTTAATTGAAAAATTATGCGGAGTCCATGAGAATTGATATATCATACCAGAAATCCAATGGGTTAACCAACCGGGGAAAGGCTCAAGAATAAAAGGAAAAGCGCCAACATTTGTTCCTTTGTTTCATTAAGGACTTGCGATAGGGGTTGCCCTCGGATTTTACTGAGTAATAATAAGAAGACTAGTGTGCTAAAATGAAACACACAGAAACAGAAAGTGTTCTGAACGTCCTTCAGAATACAAAGGATAAGAAGAACGTTCATAATAATCTGAAATAGGAGAGGATTTGCGCCTTCGGCGTGGTGGCGCAAAACCAAAAATAGAAGGCGCGGCGCATCCCCCTGCCATGGGCAGTAGTCGTTTTAATGTAACACCAGTATCCATCGGATCATAAGACCCATGGAGTAATAAAAGAAGGAGACTGAAAAGCAATAAAAAGAAGATGCTTTTCTTTTTTGATAAAAAGAAGAAGATATCGAGTAAGATTATCTGAATTAGAAGGGAAAGTGCCAAGTCTTGCATTTTTGGATGAAAAAAGTATCGCCCGACTAGCAGGGCTAGAAAAGCGATATCATAAGGAAGAAAAGGGAGAAATGCAAGACCTAGGATTAATAAAGACAACATGACTGCTTCTGGTGATTCTCTACAAATCACCAGAGTCGCCACATTGCTTAAAGAAAAGGAGAGTCTGTGGACTTGGATCTACCAAATGATAAGAATGCCTCTGAGATTCAATCATAAACGACTTCTTCTCCAGTTGAGGCATTTGAGAAAAAAGAAATTCTTCCAGAAAGAGACTCCTTCCTGTACGAGGAGTGAACAACTATAGTTCTCTATAGAGAACTATTACCAAAGCATGGGAAAGATGCACAAACAAAAGAAGAAATGAAAGTCCTACAACTTACTACATCCCTCCCAAAAGATTGACGTAGACAGCCATGGCCTGTATGTAGCATTCACCCGTTGGCCCATGGAAATAAAGATCCCTTACCTTAGGGCATCTAAAACAATAGGTAAGTTGTCGGTATCTCCAATCACTTCCCGGCAAAAGGCCGGTAGCGTCCAATCATTTGGAAGTGGATTTTGTCTAAATGGAAGAAGTTCCGACATACGCGCATAGAGGCAGCTTTGAGCGGAACTCAAAGCATTCTGACATAGGATCTTCGGGGTTTTGCCCCTCCATACGGAATTGGCTAATGCCGATAGAGAATTGAAGAGTGCAATTTTATTCTCATGTCTGTCCATATAGTTCATTTTTGACTGCTCCCCTCTCAAACTGAAGAGAGACTTGTCGGAAATCGCCGGTTGGTTTTTTCCAACCAAGAAAGACATGGGAGAATAGAATGAATCCAATGCATTCTTTTCGATACAGTAGGGTACACTTCTCCCCAATATGAGATAGGTTGCAGCTATAGTCAGAACTCCAACTGGGACAATATAGTTTAAACCATCTTTTTCTCTTTATATCGCGTTATATTAAGGCTTCTACCGCCTCCACTAATACAGTACAACACGAATTTTGGGAGGTTTCTTTTCTTCCTCTCTTAGTATTCATGCCTTTGTCCGGAGGCCTTCTTGCACCAGCTCTTAAATTAAAGAGAAAAGCACTGTTTAGCTTAGTTAGCTTAGATCCTCTTTGAGATGAAATGCGGAAAAGTCCTAATCAAAGGCGAAAGGCGCCATCCAAGCAAAGTGGGAATACCCAGCAAGATCCGACCAACAATCGAGTTCATACCCGGCGTGAGGCTTTAAAGAAGAAAGCCCAGGCTCAAAGGCCCTGTCATATTGTCAAGCCTGAGAAAGCCTAGCCCGCAAGCCTGCTTCACCTTCACTTCCTTCCGTACCTGATTCTTAGTCTGCTCTAAAGGCAGCCAGTGACTCGAGGTCTTCTGGAGTGACTCTCGGGTAATTTCAATGGTTCAGCTCTGGTTCAAATGGTATCCGGGGTATATCTGTTATCTGTTGTTCACGAATCCGTTTCAGGTTTTCAGGCATACCCGGTCTTTTCTCTTTCAGTTGCTGCTCCGGGGAAAGGACGTAAGCAGCAGCACCTCTCCCTTTCATACGAAACTTGTCATTTTTCCCTGACCTAGAAGCTCCTAGAAATAGGAAGAAGATCTATCCAGTTAGATAGAAAGCAAGATTAGACATAAATAGATTGATTCTAGACTATTTAAGATAGATGGTTGGCTAAGCGTTGGATTTTCATCCTTCCCCCTTCTTTCTTCAACGGAAACTCTTACTTCTAAAAAGCGGCTTCGACTTAAACAACCTGTCCAATACGCCAGGAATGACCACGGAATTTAGAACATGGTGGTCGGAGGAATAAAAACCTTGCTTTCAAGCCAATCGAAGCCATCTCACCTGGAGATGTAAAAAGGAGAATCCCGACCGAAAAATCCCAGAAAGGAAAGAGCAAGACCAAGGAATCCGTCCCAGAGCCCTCGTCGAGTCAACTTTATCCTCCCAAGAAAAGAAACCCAAGAAAGGTATCTCCTTTTCGGTCTTTCGTTGTTTAACTCCCGCGGCCAAAAAATGAGTTGTTTTTCTATTTTGTAGACAAAAGTGCTAAACCCCCTACCCCTAAGTCCGCAATGTCTTCAGTTAGGAGAACCCGAGCTACCTCGAAGCGCACAGCTGCAGAAACTGCCTCTGCTTTGATTAAGAATAAAAAAAAGGAAAGACGAAGGCAAACCCACTGACGAAGCGTCTGAGCCTCTGGAGGTAAGTGAGGGAGAAAGTGAGCTGGCTGAAGCCAGAGCCTACAAAAGGATCCATTATTGGAGTGCTGCGCTTCTCAGGGCCCTCTGTCCTCGGCCCCGCCGGGGCGATCCAGTCACCCGGAGTTCGACGTTCGATCCATTAGGTAGTTCGCATCAGTTCTCGGACCGGTCTAGCACTCAACCCATTTTTTTCTATAGCGGATTTTGCTTTGTGACGCCCGAACCCGAAGCGAAGGTGCAAAAGGAAATGAACGCATTATCCTTTAATTGCTCGTCACTAATCCGTTTCTAGTGATTCCACGTTCATAGTTCTTTCCATTTTGCCGGTCGGGAAGAAAGATCCAGAAAGATTCTCTCTTGCTTTATAGGTCACGGCCGAGAACGGAGAAATAGAGGAAGCAAAAAAGCCGGTTCATGCGTACCAACGGAAGAGTTTGATTGAAAGTCAGGTGTCAATTGCTTCCTGCCTTCGAGTGAGATGTAGCTAGGATATGATACCTATGCCTTAGTCTGAGACTTTTTGAGGTGCTATTGATGCCAAAGTTCAAAATAGCTCTGCATCTGTCCATCGTGCTCCAGCTCCGTCCTTTGCAGTGGTAGAACCTGGTCAACCCATTCCTACTACCTCGTAGCCTTCTGTGGACCTTTTTTTTTTTATGATCTTTCTGGTTATAAAGAAGTTCAGTCACTGAATTCGCAGGCACTCCATCTGATGGATGCCCTTACTCTCATTCTAAAAAAAGGCAATGTCCCACTAAAGGTACGGGGGGTGGCGATAGACCTCGAGACACATTCCCTCCCTCAAACACAAAGACAGAAAAAGAAAGGCTTGCTGCGGAAAAATGAAACCTTCGACCACTTCGAAAACGGACGGAGAGCATTCACATAAAGAAAAAAGGGGGTGCCTTCTTTTATCGTCTTTATGGTTGGTGATAGTCATTCTCTCGTGTACTTATATCTGGTCAATGCCATTCTGTCTAGTAATTCTTTCTCTCTCGACTCATAGCATTCAGCATTCAAGTACGTCTTTCTAGTTGTAGAGTCTCTCTTTCCTTCGTGACTCTCGGATCGAAGCGAGTAGTTGCCGTTGTTCCGTGCCGTCAGCGACATTTCTTTCTGGCATTCGTCAAGTCATTTTCATCGTGGTACTACTAGTTACTCTTTTTGGCACATCATAGGCCTCACCATCAGATGCCGAATCCGCTGAATAGGAATACCTTCGATATAGAATCTTTCGAGTCACCTTAACTTAGAAAGAAAGGCTTCTTTGATGGACATCTTTATACAAGATTCTAAGCTCCAGATGCTGCTACCGGGTTTGGAATAGACCACCTATCCGATCTTGATTTCCTTCTCCCTTCCATACGTAATTTATTGATGACTAGCCGCATTGAATCGAATAGGGCTTCCCAGGTTGCATTCGAACCTACGCTATGACCGGTCACGTCACTTAAAGTGCACAGCCGATCGCTCCACCACTGAGCAACTGGGACGAGAGGTAGTTGCCTACGACGTTTTCATCACTACTATTTAGCCTAGCATAGGTGACGGGAGGAGTTATGGAATCCGGGACTTGACATGGATACGAGCTCACGAGGGCACATCTCCTGTTTCAAACATTATGTCTGACGAGAACAAACCGCTGGCTCTCTATTCAGCTTCTTGGCTTAGTCAGCTCTTCTTTCAGGCGCTCCATCAGCAAAGGAGGCGAGGAATGAGTCCGATCGATCTTATTAGCTTATTCCAAAGTCATTGACAAGTCTCCCTCCCTAGCTACTAGAACTATAGGACTAAAGATCATGGTCGTAGGTCAACCTGTATGGAGTTTTACCTGTGCCATCACTAAGGGTGGCCTTCCAACATCAATTGAACCCACCCGAGTTTACTGAAGCTATCTTAGTTGAATTGGACGGTCTAGAGGAGGAAAGGCTGAAGGCCCTAAACACTTGGCTTTCCGAAAAGAGTCATATCATAAAGGATCGTAGGCAAACGGTGACCGGCCACGAAGGCTCTTTGGGCGCTGCTCCTTCTCCTTGTCTCTAGAATAGCTACCTCCCGGACGAGAATACCGGGATTTTCGGAGGATGGCTGCGTGAATGGGGAGAGCTGGAAAGAAGTGGAAGTCCTTACCAGATAGAGGAAAGTCAACTGACGTCAGAGGGAGGCTTACGCACTATATCCACCTTGTCGAAAAAGGAAAAAAGAATGAATGTATAGCTGTAAATACCAAATCCTTAATCAGTAGTGGACTACTAGTTAACACACTACTAAAGCAGAGTAGCCAGCATGCGCACATCATGATTTGCCAGAGGAGCTCAGAGCTCAGCGAATGAAAGAAGGCCGAAAATAAAAGGCTTTGTCATAACAAAACGGAAGGTGCGGAGCAAGGGGATTCCGAAGAACAAAGAGTTTTCGCCGCTGAGAGATCACTTTTCCCCTCCTCGTGGATGAAAGGAAGCAATGCCAAGTGCCCATGGAGTCTCTTCCCAGACCGGTGAGCGTGAAAGCCATGCTATCAAGAAAGAAAACCAGCCCCTCTTCGACCTTGAAAGCAGCGCTGGAAAGGACGCTTTGCTCCCTGGATCAGTCAGTCCTTAAGTAAGTCAGTAAATAGTCTTCCCGGTAGTGGAAGAGTTCGATTCCCCTTTTTTAAGCAAATAAGCAATTTACTTTTTTCAAGACTGAAAGGAATGAGCTCTATACTTTGACTATCGGTTTCGAGGATCGATGTAATAATTGACGGACCAACGGGAGAAGAGCTGAAAGCCACTCTTTAGTAGGGTTCGAGTTATTCCATAATATAAAGAAGTTTTTTTTCTTTAGCACAAGGGTAGAAGGAAGCCTAGAGGCAAGGGCGTTAGCCTCTTCCTGAAATTGTGCTTAGTCTCGCTACCTCTTTAGTTGCCGCCCCCTAAAAGTCAGTGCTTGCTGCAGACCGATGAGCATGGATTATCCAGTATTGAGCAGCGGTCTAGCATCCCTACGCCTTCTACTAGTCTAAGCCACGCTGGGACTGAGAGTGGAGTCATTCCCGTGTGAATTAAAAAGGAATAGAATTACCTCGGTGTCGGCTCTGCTTGTTGTCGGAGGATGAAGGGATCTTCGCCTTTCTCCCCCCTGTGATTAGGGCTCGCCCGCCCAGTCTAGTACCAAAGCATCCCGGTTCAATACCCGGGAGTAGAAGAGAGAACTCCTCTTTCTCATAAGTAGTGCTTCTCCTTCTCTACTACCGTAGCTGTCGGAAATAGCTAATTTGACTTCTTTTCCCCTTTCCCTCATCTTCCTAATGGTGTTGGCAAGAATCTCTTCGCGAATAGAACTATTATCCTTCTAAGACTTTTAAGGACGCTACAGGTGATCGTAGAAAGAGAGACTTTTTTTAGTTTTTTCCTCAGTTCGGATTCTTATCTGCTTCTCGGGAAGATGAAGAGGAGAGTCGTCAAAGGGATCAATAGTTTTCTTTGAGTCTTCTTGTCTGCGGTGGGGAAAGCATTCCGGTGCGATGTCTCCGGTTTAGACACCTGGCGCCAACCTTCCTAAAACGCTCTGTCTTTAGGTGAAGGCGAGTAGGTCAGCGCCAAAGACTGGAAGTCTATTTAACAATGAAAGACAGATTCTTGATCTTCTAGCGCTTTGGTGCGCAGGCTTGGCTCCGGATCTTTGAAAAAGTCCTCGTTCTAAAGAAAGTAAACTTAGGCATCTTCAAGAGCTATATGCTTAACACATGCAAGTCGTATTAGAAGTGGAATAAAAAAAGACTTTTATAGTACCGAAAAGTATTTGCAAGCAAACCAGTAATGCCACGGGGTTGAGAGTTCTTAGATGAAGCCTATGTTAAACCCACTGGGAAAAAGAAGAGACCTGCCATACTATAATCTCCCATACCTTAATGCCTACCTTCCGCCTTTTACTATAAGCGAAGATGATTAAGAATATGCGGGCATAGGAAGTTCTAAAAATAATGCATGACTTTCAGGGTGAAAATCACATTATTTAATCGCTTTCGGTATTTACTTACTATTGACTTTCAGGATTGGAAAAGTGTTCGTACTACTAATAAGCATTCGGCTTTCGAATCCTCGCTGCGCAATGAAATTCTTGCGTGCTCCTTCGGGTGTGGTTGCAAGATCTCGCTTTCAGTTTGAAAATGTGTATGTAGCTTCCTTGTACAATAGCTCTCTCTCTGAGAGAGTGATCGGGAAGCATTCTCTCTTTCCCTCCGTATCTGACCCACCACCCTTGCTTAGCTTGCTTCGTGGTCTGGCTTGGTCTAAACCTACCTTTAATGGCTTGTTTACGTACTAAACTAATGGTTCAATTTCTTACTTTTCTTCTCTAGCTTGAAAAGCCCTGTGTTATCACTCTTAACCTTCCGATCGATGGTCAAGAACCTCTTTCTCTTTAGAAAAAACAACAATTTGAACTTCTCGTATCGTATAAGGGCTGAGCTCGTTGGCTACTTTTCCTCTTCTGGTTCTTTTCTCCTCTGGGAAGAGAACGTTCCTCTGCTTCGATTCTGGGAATCAGGCCAAAGGCCTTCTCCTTCATCTGCTTTATCTGAGGCGGATGTTGAAAGAACAGCTTCCGATTCGGATGCTTTTTAAAGAGCTGCTTCAGCAGATTATTCTAAAACAGTTGATTAAGCGGATTCGTATGCTTCGGGTGCTTCTGTTCTAGCTTCCTTATTCTTTGGATTAGGAATTGAATTTTACCTATTCTCTCTTGTTTAATGAAATTCCTGTTTTAGAGAGAGTGGGAAAGTCAGAAAAGCTGGTGTCTTCCGCCCGAAGAATAGAGAGAAAATCCTTTTTCTTTTCCTTACTCATACGATTTTTCATACCTGTCTCGAATTTCCTATTTCCCCTAAAGAGAGGCATCCAATTTAGAAAAATGTTTGTATATCATATAGCGCCAGTCAACATGAATTTCCCTTATAGCGACATGTCAAAAATGGAAATCTTTGATCTCGCCATGGCCCACTACTTTTGGGTTGGGCATCTTTCAGGGGTCGTTCCTTAAGTTAAGGGAAATCGAGTTTAGGCCAGAGATTTTCTCAATGATGTCAGTTTCGCGCATAGGTGGGAAAAGCCCTATTCTGACTGACCGGACCAATGCATGGATCTTATGCTCTGATCATGCCACGAACTAATCTACTCCGAATAATTGACCTAAGCTGCTCTTTCTTCCTGCCAAACCACTCCGGGGACTAGACCTTGGGTTGTGGGCTAGGCTGAAGACGGAGTAGCATCAGTCAACTTCCTTTCTTTTACCATTTTTAAAAAGTATGCCGCACCATGAGCATCTACGCTGCCTGAAAGAAGGAAAGATCCTAGCCCACATCTCTTTATCCAGAACGGTGTCACTAACGGGCCTGTTTAACTCATTCATCACGGTTGACGGGGAAATCCTTCATAGGAGAGTGTGCTACTCCTTACTAAGCCTTTTTGGAGTGAACTGTAGTGGGTTGCAAATTTTCTCGCTTCGTGTGATTTGAATCAAACCTTTCCAGGATGCTCGCTTCCAAGCATTTAGTGTGAGTGCCATCTTTTATTACCTGACTACTTTCTATGACCTATAACGAAAAAGAAGCATATGGAAAGGGCCCCTTAGGACTACTACGGACACCATTTATCACTGGTTCCATATCGGCTTTCATCACAATGAAGAATCTGGCTTATCCTATTCTCTTTATCCTAACTGTATGTAAATCAATAATCATCACATTATGGTTACACCACACCATTCGAAAGACGAACCTTATCCTAAGCAGGGCAAGGAAGGTCTCTAATCGACAACAAAGAGATATGCCAATTAGCTAACACTTACTATAAACCTCTTTTCGTTAAATCATATAGTAAAACAGAACTCTTATCTTAGTTACTATTCTCCAATCTCTTTAGGGAGTGAATGACTCATGGGTATGGCGGAAGAAGAAAAAGTAATAAATACGACTAGACTTTTAGCTTGAAGGTGGGCAATTGCCTGTTTAAATGAAAGGAAGAGATGAGCGTGATAGGGCTTTACCGGGCTTCTCTCTTTAAGGCTAAGGGTAAGACCTTGGTCAATCAGTTCCTAAGGATATGCCTCTGGAATTGCAATTAGATGGTTCCTGCTTTCAGTAGACAGGGAATTGGATGAAGTAGACATGGGATTGGACAGCGGCAAAGATAGGCCTGATCCAGGAATGGTGATGTCTCGTCCTGACATGGCTTACCCTCCCTAAACCTACTTTAATGGAACATGCCTAGGGCAGAGAAAGGTAAGTTTATCTAGCCCGATAGGCAAAGTTTTTAAGAGAGGGCACTTCGTGGCTTAAACGGCTCTATTTTCACCGTTAGAGAAGAAAGAAAATACATGCATATAGGCAAACCCCACGAACAACTAAACCATCCGGTTCGGGAGCTCCAAGGAGGAAGAAAAGAAATAGGATTCGGATGAAGAATAAGAAAGAGAGAACGATGCCGAGGCTGAAGTCGAAACCTAAGTCGAAGTT